GGTTGTCACACATCACTTACTGTTTTATCTTTCTAATTGTGTCATAGGTATGTTAAGTTTATTAATTTATTTTTTGTGTTAAGGAAGTGGTTTTTAAGTTGTAATTCAGGGAGTTGGATAAATTGGATTTCAGAGGTTTAAATTGCATGTTAACGTACAGGTATTATACAGGTATTTGTACATGGAAAATGTATGTTAAAATGATTTATTTTTTATTCGCTGTAGGTTTTTATACTGGTTTAACTGTAAAGTTACTGTGTTTGGTGGAAAAGGAAAAAGGTTAAAATGGGTGTGTGTGAAAAAAAAGAACAAAAAAGGTGATGTGTATTGGGATTGGATGACTGGTGTGAAGTAAATGAGTTATTGAATAATATATTGTATTGGAGATGAAAAAGGAGATAAATTAAATGGTTATAAGTAAAAAGGAAATGATGTATATGACAGATGGAAAATGGAAATAAAAAAAAAAATTAAGTTGTTATCATTCAAAATGTAAGGAGCTTGTTTGGATGATGTGTGCATGAATTTGTAAAAAATCTGTTGTTTTGGATAAATGTTGATTTTTAGAAAATGACTGGTAACATAGTGAATGTAATAAATAATGTGATATGAATATGAATTATTTGTAATATCAAATGAAAAAGCATTAAATAAATCAAAGATTTAATTTAAGATTTTATTCTGTTTGTTTGTATGGACATATAGGGTATTCTCAGATTAGAAATTGAAGAGAAAATAAATGAAAATTCTATGATGTTAAAATATAGAATAATTTAAATTTTACTAAGACTAGTAAAAGAAAAATATAAAATATATATATATTGTATATGACAATTATTAGGAGTTATAATGATGAAAAAAGTGTTAGAAAATGTAACTGTTGTAGATGGTTATTTATTATTTTTTAACATAATTTATACAGGTAATATAAAGGTTATAAATAAAGGTATGGGACATTATAAAGGATCATAAGAACATATGAGGGGTCATAAAGATGATTAATGAGGAAGAAAGAAGAAAAAAAAGTTCTGTTGCAAAAGATTATTTTATTTTTGGATTTTATAATAATTGTTTTTATTGTTAAATATTAAGGATAATTGTACAATACTTGGGAATTAAATGTAATTTTAAATTAAAAAAATGTGAATGGTTTTGAGGGGAAGTTGTATATTTGGTGGGAAAATAAGAAATATAAAAAAATGCAATGGGACAAAACATAAAAATGTTTTTTAAAAAAATTAGGAATTGGACAATGATTAAAATAAAAGATAAAGGTAATATACTGCAGGAAAATGAGGTAATGGAAATATAAATAATGAAGTTGTTGATATTTAAATTTTTAATGTTTAGGTAGGTTCATTAAAGAACAGAGAAGGGGTGATACTATTAACAGTTACCATGAGTTTGGTACATAAAAAAATGCCGATGTGTATAAGAGTGTCAAAAGAAATAAAAGAGTATTATGATAATGGGGATTTGAAGACAATGGGGGGTTCACTGAGTATATAAATAAATATTTGTTTTGGAGATGATAGCAGGAGATAAAAAATTTCAAATTGTATAAAATAAGGTTATTAATTTTGACATGAACATAAAAAAGAAAATTAAGTGGAGAATTTATATTAAAAATGTAATGTTGTTATTGGATGAATGTGATTATTTAGAAATGATGATATGTATGATGTATAAATACAAATTAATGGTAAAATTAGTTGATGTATAAATAATGTGATTACTGAATCATGAAATAATATTAAGTGAGAAAAAAAATTAAATAAATCAAAGATTAATAAAAGTTTTTTTATTATGTTTGTTAAATTTATAATGTAGGTATTTATATAGAAAATGAGAAATAAATAAATGATATGATGTTAAATAAATATAGAACTTTACATGAGATATTTCAATTAAATGAACTGTTTTAGAATATAATTATATAATTTATGTTGGGAATTTAATTAATTGTAATTTATAACTGGATCCATATTGTTTAGAGCAAGGAGAACATTAATGATAAACGATCATTTAATATACAATAATGACTAAAACCATGTGTATTAATTTAAAAATTAATGATTTAAATATAAGAAAAAGATTTTTGAATTGAGTAAAAATTTTATTACTGAATTTTTTTGTCATTTATTAATTTATAATCAAAAGAAATGATATTACAGAATAAATGTAATTTTTATTAAGTTTTTTAAGTGTGTTATTAAGAAGGAAAGAAATAATAATATTGAAAAGAGAGCGAGAACAGGTAAATTTACCAAATATTGATGCGTTGAAGGTATAGATATTGATCGAATATGGGTAGATGGTAATAAATATCTTGTGATGTGGTTATAGTCATGAGCATTTAGAGAGGAATAGTTGTGAAATGTTTGATATAGAAGTAGAGTTCTGAAAAAACAAGTATGTAGGTTGTAGGAGGTAATAACAAAATAGTCGAATGGCGGTGGATTGATGCAAATGAACGACTGGTAGCGCACCAGAAAGTTTGGGGAAATACAAAAGTGCTTAGACTTAGATTTGTTTTATTAGAATTGCTACAAGATTTGAGTTAGTTCAGATTTACTGTAATTTTAGTACTAAAGTATAGAACTACAAACAAATGAGTTTAGGAATCCTCAACCAGGATTGGTGACCAGAGAAAGAGCAAGCATTACTTATAGTCTGTAAATATAGACAAAAAACACAAAAAGATAAAATGAGAAGTTGGGGGTATGATGGTAATAAGAAAGGGATGTAATGTGAAATCCTAAAAATAAACATTATAGATTAGAAGGTTAGTGTGAAACGAATATCAGTCTTGGCGTAATAGTGCATGAATGTCACCACATGTACAGAAAAAATAAAATGGAATTGGGTTCAAGCAAAGCAAGGCTGTTTGGAAATACTGCGTCAAAATGATAGTTGATAGAGTCCGTTTTTTTTTAGCTTAATCCACTTTTGTTCAATTTTAAAGTTTTGGAGAAAAAGGGAAATGTGGTAAGCATAGAGTTGCCTCACAGCAATCTGAAAAAAAATCAGAATACTTTAAAGGGCCTTCGCGACGCTGCGTGATGTCTCAATGGCAATGATGGAATTCGATCGGTTAGATTAGGTGATTACACGCAAAAAAGGATTTCTAAGAACTAAGAAAAGGAGTGAAGGATAAGTGGATGAGGGAGAGGGGTTTTCCTCACAGGGACTCGTACAGGCAGTGATGTCCGGCAGCGCAGGAATATCAGAATTGGAGAATGAAGATCATTCAGGAGTTCATTTTGGCCTGGAGATTGGTCACTACATCTTTATCTGTGGAAACCCTGAGACTGTCCTCCATGCTGTTTTAGCGTCCGATCTGTCCCAGCATTGGCACACAGATTAGAGTAATAGAAGAAAGGGGCAGGGCTTACATTTTAAAGACTCTGAATTACATTGTAAGCAGCGCTGACTGGACAGGAAGGGCTGCAAAGACATAAAGGAGTGAAATCACCGTTTAACACAGAGAGAAAGAAAGAATAGCCCTTTTGAAGGGTTATGCTGTAGAAGGACATTTAAAGGATGAAATAATTGGATGCTGGAGCTTGTCTCAAGCAAAGCAAGGAATGCAAACCCAATTCTTTCCATGAGTGGAGGAGGTAAAGTCGGGTGACAGGGGTTGTCATCCAGTAAAATCACAACCAAGGAGTTTTAACATCTTTTCTTTCACACTACACCATACATTCAAAATAAACAGAATTAGGGCATTTTTTTCGGTAGAATCATATTTTGGGAAGAAGCCAAGTTCTACACAGGCACCGGGGGATCTACACAATGTATTGCTTCTTCGGAGATATTGATCCTTTCATGGCTACTCTGTTCCATTGCAGATGAAAGCGAGCTGCTTCCCTGCTTGGTATCACCGCGGTGAACTTGGTAAGGAATAATTGACTGGAGCGGAGTTAAGGTTATTTGACGAATATTTCATTCAAATGTGTGAATGTATAATTCAGTGGTTTTGGCTTTAACATATTAAGAGTTTTACTTTGTCATCTCTATTTTCTGTCCCCTCACTCAAAAGTCAAAATTTCCCAAAGAAGAAAGCTGAGGATATTTCTTTAAATTTATGTTTAATTCTTA